GGCCGCATAGTTCGCTTACCGCTTAATCCGCTGTTGAGGTATACAACACATATGCGTACCACTACCAACTTCCTTAATCGAAAAACCAACAATGAATATATATATTATTTATTTTAAATTGTTTCCGGGGGATAGCTTTAGATGTAGTAAACATAATTAATTTACAGCATGTTGCATTAATAATGCACTTTCGGCTAACCAATTAAGAAAATTAAACAAAAATTGTAGTTTAATAAAAATTTAATGAAAAAATTAAAATATTAAAAATATTGTTAAAGGACTAATAAACATTTTATTTTTGTCGCACAATTAGTCAAATTTCACAGTAAAGCAGATGGCGTTAATTGTCAATCACTTGACTTGATAACGAGCAGACGACAAAAAAAGAAAAAACACGGAGTAAAATTTCTCTTTATAAAAATGATGAAATGGAGAATTGCAAGAACGAATCATTCTATTGAGTAAGTCATTTATTTGAGTTTTAAAATGACTTTTAAAATATTTATTATGGTTACAGAAGTTATTACACATTTAATTTAATTATGATTGGTTAAGATATAAATTGAGTTTCACAAATGTTGATCATTTCAGTTATTAATCTTCAAATATAAAACTTTTATTCAGTTTAGAAAATTTGTAAATGACGGTAACAAGACATTTATATATTTTTAGATTAAAAGGTTTTAGCTATATAACTTATATAGTATATTTCAAGCTATAGTATAGCCTACTCTATATGCTTGAAACATACTGTAAACTATATAGTATACATTATGTTTCTATATATATAAATATATATAGGACTATAAACTTAATATTTATAGTATGTAGTATAGATATTATTATGTACTGTATATAGTTTCAGAATATATACAGTATGTAGTATACTGTAAAGTTACTATACATTAACTGTACAGTATGTTTCAAGCAATTTATAATGAAAATAACGGTTATAACTTTGCTATTGATTTAAATTGATGTTAGCTAATAAAATATTGTTTTAAATTTTCAGAAGTTATCATTTTTTTTGAATGGCATAACTTTGCCTTAACATTTAAGTCATGCCTATTGAATTCTGTAGAAATTATTTCAGAAAATAAACATTTCAAATTAGTTAAAACGCAGAAATAATTTTTTTTTAAAAACTCAACTGCAAGCAAATGAATTGTTTTTTAAATATATTTTTATTTCATATAATATCTGGAATTTATTTAAGTTTAGAAGCTTTCTATTCTACCGATGGAATTTTTAAGTAAAATATATAAAATTATGATTATTTTCTGTCGTCTGTTTAATCACGTAGGTGTCTTAGATCATTCACCTTCTCCCACGGATGAAAATTGACATATCTGGAAAGATCATTGAATACATTTTACCAGATAGACATATAAGGTAGAAAAATATTCACGTAAAAACATTCGATTTAAAATGTTTTTTAGCTCAGAAGTGAAATCAAGTTTAGATTTGTTGGATAGTATCTTAGCGGAATATGAACAGGACGATGATAAAGTAGCATCTTCATTTACATCTTGGATAACATCTGATGATAATGAGTAAGATACAAACAGGATTTTTAAGTATATTAAAATTAAATTAAAACATTTTAGAGCATAAATTTTTATTTGCAGAACAGAAAATCTTTCACACAGTTGGCAATCGAAAAAGCCGGACAAAGTAATAAATTATCGACATTCTTTACCGAGTGACGTACGTATTTCTTTCAAAAGTTATATTACCTATGATATAATGTGTTTTTAAGTCGAATGACATTAACATTCGTTTATTTAATTTAAAATATTTGAAAACACTCTGATCAAACTAATATAGAGATTATTGATAACTGTCTCGACATATAGCCTTGACATATTCGTTAAACAGAGGATATCCGTCAGCTTATGATAGAAATTCGAGGAAATTTTCTGTTTCTTTCCTCCCCGTAAGGAATTGTTTATTAAGCTGATATCATAAATGAACACGATCAAATTTCTCCGTTAATTAGCTAATTCGAAAATCTAGATTCCAATTTAATAAAATTATAAACAATTTATAAAACTTCATTCTTCTAACTAATGATTATATTTATTAATTTACTTTTTAATTACTAAATTTCGAAGCATTTAGAAATAGATTAATGGCATTAATGTAATTTAAAATATCACATTTTTATCTTATATATTTATACACGTATAAACTTCAAAAATTTAAAAATTAAATATTAATTAATCGAATAAATTTGATATTATGATAGTGTTATAGTAACTATTTTAAAATTTTTATATTGAAAACTAAAACTTTGAATACTTTTTGCAAAACTGTTTTCTATAAATTACAATAATGTTTACTTTATTACAATAATTTATTGTGATAAATTAAATGTTTATTACGGAAAAAATCGGTTATAATATTTTTTCTTAATTCTTCAATAATCTTTCTTTTAAAGTTTGAATCGTCCCTACACTATATGAAATTAAGTCCTGAAAGAGATAATGCCCATTTGATAAAATTTTAAATGGAGATACATTTAATTTCATACAGACTGATTATAAAATTGGGTATTATATAAACTTGCATTTAATGCAAAATAAAAATAAATAAGTGTTCGCATATTTTTGGAAATAATTAGTTTTAGAACTGGATTATTCATATTATGTATGTATCCAAAAATTTTAAATTTAATTTTTTAAATTAAAAGTTATAAAATAAAATCGCCTATCAAATTGCATCAAAGGCATTAAACTATCTTTAGCTATAAAAGATTAGCTGTAAAGATGCCTTCTTTAAACATATGTGGAGTAGCCTACTATTTTAATTTTACTTCGGAGCTTTCAATCTTTTCGTTAATTTGACGGCCAGATATCGGAGCGGTTAAGGTGGTAGCCTATCGCTCTGGGAATCTGGATGAGTCGAAAAATTCCACGAATTTTCAGGGGATAGTCCAGTGGTTCTCAAAGCGGGTGCCGCGGCACCTTAGGGTGCCGCAAGAACGCCACAAGGGTGCCGCGAAATTTTTAAATAATTAAATTAAAATTACTTAAAATAATTGAATTAAAGTATTAAATTAAATAAATAATTAAAAGATACCTTTATAATAATAACTTTTGTTTTGAATGCTTTTGTGTTGTTTGGAAATAAACTTACTTTAATAAAAAACTTTTATTTTTTCAAAGTCTTCTCATCCTTCATATCTTTACTAACCGTAAAAAGCAAAATAATAAATAATAATAATAGGGGTGCCGTGAATTTTGTTTAATAATTTCAAGTGTGCCACCTGACAAAAAAGTTTGAGAAACACTGGGATAGTCCGTCCGGATATGTCGGGCCTCGTCCCTCACTACCCGCCCGCCCCATTGTGGGCATAGCCGAACCCATAATGGGCTTGCTAAAAAGGCCCTCTTAGTGTTCACAAGGCGGAAAGAGTAAAAAGATATTTTTATTAAGGTTTGTCGTTACGCAGAAAAAAAAATTAAAATATAGTCTGGTAAACAGTGATTAACTTTATAATCAAACACCAAACACTTGCTGAGCTTATAGTGGAAATACTTGTGAAGATAGTGATTAACTTTTATAAAGACGATTGTATAGTGATTAATTTTATTTTTATACTGTATTTTTAAAATGAAATGTCCGTCCCAGAGTTTTTAATGAAAACATTTCTTCACTTTCTCAATTCGTACTATTTTCGATGGGGGTGTGAAGAATCAGGATTTGAATCTAGTTTGAACTGTTAAATCAAGTCTTAATTTTTCTCGGTTAGCTCAGATATTATCACCCATAATTCCATTAGTTCTGTTACTAATATAATTATCTGTTTTTATATCGTCATGACTAGATGCACAGATAGACACTGGGCATTTCTACATCATCTTTGTGAATAAAGATGATAAAGATAAAGATTTCTACATCATCTTTATTCACAAAGATGATGTAGAAATGTCCAATGTCTATCTATGCACCTAGTCGTGACGATAAAAACAGATAAAAGAAGACACCGTTTCAGAATACACAATACAATTATCATCAGACAGCATCATTTATACTTATTACTACTGATATCACTAATTCTTTGTAATACCGTAATAGTTACATTAATTTGAATTTAGATCAGTGATGACTAACTGGCAACCAGAACATTTCTCATGTTCCGTGAATTATATCTCGAGTAACCATATAATTCCGTCTATACAATATCGAGTCCATAGTTGTAATCAATCGATATTATCAAAGAGAATCCGCGCATATAAGGATACATAACGGCCCACCAGTGAACGAGTGAATAAAAACACTGAACATTTGTAATTTGTCGCGGATTCGCACCTCGCCAACATTCTGGCCACGTTTTCCGGATTTCCTTCACGTATCTAACACTTAAATAGGGGCCAGTTTCTTATAAAAGTTATTCCGGGATGCATTTTTCCTTGACAGATTGCGTATGAGTTTCTGTATCCTATCAAAGTTAACTAAAAATTCATGAATTCGTAAGTTATCTAAAATGACGTACAAGAGATGATGCAATTATTTCGGTGGTAGTGAGATTTCCTGTAAACTTCGTGTATTCGTTTTATTCTGAGAAATTTGAACATAACAGCGATTATTACATAATATATTCATGACATCATATTACAAATATCCACCTACTCATGCTAAAAAGAATCAATAGTATCTTTAAGTCAAAAACCATAGCTTCCAATTTGAATTGTTAGATAGAAGCACTGATTGATAAATGAAACTTTTTTAAACTTATACGTTTGCCATAAATAAAACTAGCATTGAATTTTGAGAAACCACGTTCTCATTAAAAATAACGTAAACCGGCAATATTTTAAAGTTATATGTCTTTTTATGCTTATTATAAAATAAATATTAAATTTTGAATGCAATGAATTTAGAGGCTTCTTTTCTTATTTTCATTCCTAAAGTGAAACTTCAGTTCTAGAAGTCCATTCCTATTTAGAGGCTTATGAAATTCAAAATTCTGCCCTCTGCGATAAAATACGTATTAATTTTTTGGACTTCAGCTGTTACAAAATTGGCCGCTGCCGATGTAGATAATACTAAATCATAAAAATATTAAATTTTCAATATTTTAAAAAAATTATTAACCTTAAGTATATTCATAATATATTGTAATTTAGTTGTATTTATGCTTATGAAATAAGCATAAATACAACTATAAAAGTTCTATAAATAAATAAGCTTTGAATTTTATAAACTCATAATGTAACTTAATATAAAAGTTATATTATGAGTTTATCAGAATTTCTAAAATTTATTTTAGTTTAATTCAAGCTTTTGAACTTAGTTATTAAATTATTGAACTGAATTGAATAATTTTACATTGTTATAAATAATTATATTCATATATCATTTGGACCATTTGATACGTAAACTATGGAATTGCAAGAAACTTTTGTCAGTCTCGAGAAAATTTTCAAAAAATAAAATATAACGCATTAATTAAAAAGCATCTAACTGGGTATTAATAAAATATAACGTGAAAACAGAAAAAAATGAACCGATCAAGTCTCACAATATGCTACTATTGGATAATTATGACTAAAACATAAAGGCTGTCCATAAATTACGTCTGCACTTTTCTTAAAATTTTTACCCCCCCTCTTGTCCCAGTTTGTCTGTTTCCGTAACCCTCTCCCATCTTCGGATGTGCAACAAAACTCAACTTCAAAACCTTCATTACTTTATGAATAATAAAATGCATAAACTGTATAAAATTTAATAAAATAAAACGGACGTTCATTGAAGTTAAATCCCTCCCAACTTATCCGACTTGTCATAACTCCTCCCTCCCTTCCAGTGTGGACAGTCCATACTAAAATCACTTCGGTTTTGCTAAATTTCTGCAAAAAGAGGGTTATAAGTAAAGAGTTTGCGAAATACACATGTTGACTAAATTCACTTCAAAATTTATTATTGAATTTCATCTAGTAATATCAACAAAAACTTTTAGCTTTTGATTCCTAACTAGTGTTGTTTGTGGTCGGAATATCTCATTTTTCATTTCCCATCCACGTTGATTGAAATTTCTGTCAGGCGCATTGAAATTGGACAAAAATCTATCCGTTTCAATCGATTATTTGTGGCTTTTTGTTTTTAATTTTGCTTCTATAAAACATTTTCACACATCTATTAAAATATCCTGTGATTAAAAAGTATCGGGGATGGTTCAATAAAACCAAGTTTGAATTTATTCATCAAAATTTATTTCGTTCCCTTCAAAGTAATTTCCTCCCAATGCAATGCACTTTAAAGTCGTTTTTGTGAAACCCTTTCAGGACTCGCAGCGAAGTTTGTTCATGGAATCAATCGACTCGAAACGATTATCACGAAGCAGAAATTTTAATCGAGGAAACAAGAAAAAGTCACGTGGTGCCATATCGGGTGAATACGGAGCTTGATGAACCGTATTTGTTGAATTTTTGGCCAAAAATTCATGAACAAGAGCATTGTGAGCAGGTCCATGTTCAACGATGTCCCTAATTGTTAAACGACGATGATTGAGCACCAAATCTCTGACTCAAGAGTCGTGTTGTTCAGCAGTTGGAGTGGATGGTTTACCAGAGAGTGGTTCGTCTTCGACGCGCTCTCTGCCTTCTTCGAACGTCTTCTACTACTCGAAAATTCTTGATTTTGATAGACCAGGGGCGTGCCGTGACATTTGATGATAGGGAAGCTGTGTTTTTGTAACAAGC